ACACACACATACACACACACACACACACACACACATACACACACACACACATACACACACACACACACACACACACACACACACACGGATTTTACTGGTGCTGAGACAAAGCTGGGTAGGCAAATGGGGAAAAAGATAACTTCAAAATCCATCTCCAGCAGACTTCTTTAACTCCTCTTTGCAGTAAGATTGCAGGTAGACTACATTCAATAATAAATGTTTATGAAATTATTAAAATTAAGTGACTTTGTTTAAAACATATCATCATATTATATAGATACATGTACGCTTGTACACATCTTGGGTGTGTATATAGATATAAAATAGACTTACTTTATTTTATAGCTCATTAAGTACATGAGCTCAAAACCTCTGCCTTTAAAACGAAAATGAGATTTTGATTCATATATCCAGCTGCAATTCCCTTTTTGCTTTCTTCTCTTCTTAAAAGTTTGACTTGCCAACCAACAAGCTAAAGCATGACCTGTCCCACGGCCATGCTTCAAAGTTCCGACAGATATATTCCTCCCTAAACACTGCAACTATTTCAAAATCCTTTTTCTAAAGAAAGGAGTAATGTCCACAGAGGATCAAAGGGCATCCTGCAGTCTGGCAATTGCCTAAGAAAAATGGCAGCACGTCCATGAAATATGCCCTAAAATAATTTTGCAGCTTGGTATGTCCTAATTTCAAATTGGATGTTTATCTTGGAAAGGCTTCTATCTAACTTGTCCATAAAACAGCTCCACTTAGCTCTATGAGCTCTGTGAAAATGGAATCCAAAGCTAGTTATTAACGGGGCCCAGAGATAGGTTCCATATGGCAGAACAGCATGGGAGGGCAAGGCTGAGGGCGGTATCAGGCGCGGCTTGGCTGGAGCTCCTGGTCTACCCATGGACGCTCGTTGCCTTACACCATAACATCTGGATTATTGCTTGTACTGTCCCTGGGAAATATCCACTTTCCATCAAAGCCCTTTATCTATCGCAGTCGGACTTTGAACATTTTAGTATTTAACGCAGTCATGTTTGATCTGATGGACTTGTTTTTTGCTGTCCAAGTTTTTTTTTTTCCCCTCCTTCCTAAAGGCAGGGTAGGAGAAAAGTACTTAGAGTAGACAAAAAAGAATGCAAGAACTTAATTCTACTTAGCTCACGCTAAATATTTGTGCAAACAGTGCCATAAACTTACCCCTAAAATAAAGTTTCATCTGCCTGCCACATACTCTGGGTACGTGTGTGTGCCTGAAAGAAGCGTCTTAATTACCTTAACATTTCTCTTCCACCCTTGAGAAGCATGGTCAGGCCCTGTGGTGGGGGTAGGCAGGCATACCTTGTATGTTCTTGTAAAGCATGCCTAGCAAAAATATTTTGTACTTCAAACACTCCATTTCTCTGCACAATAAATCCACTCATCTGCACTCCCTCAGTTAGCTGAATGGCTCAGGTTTTTGTGTCTGTGCCCTCACCTATAAGTGAAATTTGTCATTTTAATGCAGCCTGGAATGTGAAAGGAGAGAAGGAAATGACCCATCAAAGTGGAACCCCGCCCCCACCCCGAACTGAAACAAACACCAGGAGATGGAGCAAAGTTTCTGGGTCCTGACCCTAATTCCTCAGCAGACATAACAGATAAAATATAGTACAACAGGGTTTTGTTATTTTCCTCCTTTTTCCCCAAGGATCAGAACCTCTTACTATTTCTATGTTGATTCATTCATCTGCTAGGTCTTCCTCCGAGGTCCCCACCCTATCAGATCCATATCCATTGTTCCAGCACAGAAAAAGTGATTTCCACGCAAAACAAGCTTGTTAGTTATTAATAGTGGAAAGTGACTATTGTATTTGGCTCATAAACATGCTGCTTTTGTAAAAATGAAGTAACCTTGAAAATATTCTTTTATTTCTGGGTCATGATGTTCCCATATCCAAGGCAGGATGGGAAGAAAGGGAATGAAATGGGAAGTATATTTTACAGAGGTTCTTCTACTCACTCCAGATAGGTGGAAGAGATTCACTTTTGAATCCTTAGACACTTCTGATCTAGTAGCGCATTATCCAAACAGTGCAGGCACTGTCATTCCTGGGGCACAGAAAGGGACTGCAGCTTGGGGGCAAGCATTATTCCAGGATCTGTGCCAGAGGGCACGCTGCTGGGGAGACGGTGATGTGGATTCTGGTAATTCATCTCTTGGTAGGGTTGTAAAGGACAATGGTAACATCAGCTCAGCACCTCCTGTCTGTCTCTTGCCAGACACAGTGTGGCAGGGAGGTTAGGAGAAAGGATGGATCTTGAAGGAGAATGGGGAATAAGAACTGAGGCTACAGCCTGCAGGCAACAATAACAAGGTCACACTCAGCACTATCATGCTCTAGAACTAAGTGTGCTGACCAGTACCACAGAGCCATAAGCAAACTACTCCCCTGCACGTAACACTCCCCTGCTACCCAAACAGGGTGGGCAATGAAAAATAAGAGTGAGTAGGGCTGTCAGTAAGGTGGCAAACACTGTACAGGCACTTTATAGATCTTTTCGGGGACTGAAGTATGAGAGCCTCAGTATTCCCATGTTGCTAGTGCCTCCTATTTTAACTCTCATTAATTATTTTTCCTGAGTCTTTCCTGGGATTCAACATAAACAAATGCATACACGTAAAAAAAAAAAAAATCAACTGACTTTGTAAGAAAAAAAATGAATAGTAAAATAAGACTCCAAGTATATTGACCATTGCTTTGAAAGCTAAGGGAAAACATTCAGTGTAAAAGTCACTGAAATATTCCTTTCAAGTCTTTTCAACATGTAAAACCACTGCTTCTTGTCAACAATTTTTCCAGGCAGACAGGACAAGATACACACATCCAGGAACAGCCTCCCCAACAAGGTCCTTCTCCGCAACTTCTTTGCATCATCTGAAGAGGATCCTGTAGGCATAAATTCTCCAGAACTACACAAAAATTCTTTGCAGGAGGATAAAAAGAAAACCTTTTAAATTTTCCACATGTGCATGTACATGGAAGATGAGATTTATATTTACAGGTGAAAATTCTATCACCATTCCAAAGATATTAATAATCTGGGTATACAAAGACATTAGCTATGAACGCCATGTCTTAAATTCTATATTTTTGATAGCAGCCATTCTTTCTGGGGTGAGGTGGAATCTCAGTGTTGTTTTCATCTGCATCTCTTGAATGACCAGTAATGTCAAACATTTTTCATGTTTATTTGCTGCTTTTACTTCTGTGCCTGAGAAATGTCTGTTCATTTCAGATGCCCATTTTTGAATTGGGTCTTTATATTTGGGGGATATGATTTTTTTGAGTTCT